TCTTATGCAATTAACATGCTATCAGTTATCAACCTCCCTTAGATAATTGTGGGCCAGAAATTAATAATGGAAGAACTCTCCTCATTCTTCTTGCTATGCTTTTAGAGATGATTTTGTATATGCTCATAAGAGAATGATGAGCTGAATATGATTGCGGCAGACCATCATTGAATTTTTGTGAATTAAGGCAATATATTTGAATTTATTTCCTTGCTTAGAAGTCCATCATCAAACTAATTTGGCATAAATATCATATCTTGCTTGATGATTCCATAAAATCTTTGAAAAATACAAAGGGGAAACTATCTGGACCCAAGTCTCTATCATCTGATAGGCCAAACTTGTTTCATGTATTTCCTCTAATCTAAAAGGAGATTCCAACTCGCTAGCTACTTCTTGGAGCACCTTAAATGGCACAAACACCAAATTACTTTTGCGCATGTTCTATATAGAAAATACCTCCTTAGATTGATCAATTATAGTCTTTTGTGTTCTATCAATCGTCCTCTAATTCTTGAATTTGTAACCCATCTATATTGTTTATTATTCTTCTAGCATTAGTAATTGGGTGTAAAATTTTAGTGCTTAGATCAGCTACTTAGTTCTAGATCTTTACTCTAATATACCTCCTTAATTATCGTACATTCATGCATTATTGTCCTCCACTCTTTTTATTGCTTGCTCTTCATTAAACGTTAATTAATCTTGTTGCAATATATCTATCTCTTGGCTACTTTGTAGGAGCTTCCCTCGTCCATTGAATCAGCTTATGTCTTAGGGTCTACAATTTCTTGGAAATTTTATAGCCATGCCAATCATTGATATATGTATTTAATCATGTTTATTTGATCATCTCCACTGCCTCCTTTTCCTCTATCTATCCAATTAATATGAAAGGTTGTGGCCCGTTATGCACATTCTCAAATTGACTGAAAATTGGTATGTTATCTGAAGATAGTTTAGATGGAACTAATAAAATGAAACATTGCTTTCCATGAACTTAAATTAAGAAACCTATCCATTTTTTACATAACGTAGTGATGAACTTATTTGTCCATGTTAAATATGCTCCACTAATCAAAATATGAATATGGTCATGGTTCAAAATAAAATCAATGAAAGATCTCATGCAATTATTTCAATCTATGTGAAGTACTAGACTCCTTAGGCCATCTTATGACGTTAAAGTCCTCTCCCTAACACATACTCATATACACGCATGCATTATGGTGATCCCAATTCATTGACTATATTAGAAATTGGAACGTAGGAACTCCTACTCAAGGAAGGTTGTTAGGTAAACAACCATTTAAAACCATTAACATGGCATTCAAATACTATAGACACAAATCTTTCTCCACACAAAGTCCAACCCCTTTGGTATTGTTGGTCCTAAAGAACCCAATAAAACACTTGAATGGCCCTCAGGGTTCCTACCAAAAACTGGATAGACCCTCTTCCCCAAATAGATCTAGCATTCTGAATGTTTGGAGCAGTAAGCTTAGTTTCTTGCAAAATCAAAACTTTTGGTTTCTCTTCTCGCACAAGCATCAAAAACTTAAGAGTTTTCATTCATATCTAGACGAGGCTCTATGCTTGATGATATATCCACCCCCTGCAGGCAAAGAGTTAGTAGATCCTGATTATGCGGTCTCATCAATAATGCCAATGATGCCCTATTTACTTGTGACTTTGCTGAATTGATCTTTCAACTCTTTCTTCTCTATTCCATCATCTTCTTTGTTATTTGCTTCATTTATTTTTGTATCTTTTGTTTCTTTCTTGAAGTTCCTTCTGGTAGATGCTATGCTTTTTTTTTTAGGTCTCATTTTGTTTTTTAGGAAAATCCAAAAGAATGACAAGATTTGAATTATTTTTTTTGGGTATGTGCAGATTTTATCCCTTAGGGTCACTGGTTCTAACATCCCGTGATTTGACCACAATGGTTGATGATGTCTCCCAAGTCTCATACTTTCCAAAGAAATATTTAGGTCCACCTCTCACATATAACCAAAATTTAAATGCGGGAGCATATAACATACTCTTGTGTGAGCACACTGTGCACTAACTCCCTCGGTCAAAACACTTATGGAAAATTTTCACAATCTAAAATCATTGGATCCATATTAGAGGAACATATGAGTGTTCCCACTTAGATTTGAAGTTTTTAAATACTTCAATCTGGCCATCGAGAAACGGTCTTGGTTCAATTTTAAGATATAAGTCTTTCTTTTTTCTTTTTTCTTTTTTTTTTATGTACTTATGGAGTGCTATAACGAATTAGGAATGATCTTTATGGTGTGGAATCCTAGAGGAGCATGTAAACTTCTAGTTGACAATATTAACAGTAACTCCCGTAATGGACTAACCAAGATATTAATTTCTAATAAGGTAACATTAAAATATTTAGAGAAAATTAAGTATATGAATAATGATCCTATGAGCATATATCTAGGTAATTTTATTTAAATCTCAACGGTAATTTTTTTTGTTATCACATTTGTACCAATTTTCTACCTGTTATTACAATAGTACCTCATATTTTTTTAAGGAAAAGTCATGCGGGCTGGACCGCATGATTACATATGGAGTAAAAAAATTGTAAAGCATCAATCTTAAAAATGGATATAAGTAAGTGTTTCATCTAAAAATAATGGAAACTAACGATCCAAATGCTTTTTTACTAGAATTATTATTCTAGTTTTTAAAATTTATTTAATTATTTATATTCATGATCTCCATGTTGGAGATTACATGTCTTTAAAAATTAAGTCAAAAAATACATCTCAAAAATATATATATTAAAGGGGACCACATTTCTACATATGCGGGCTTGGCTACATAGAAACCGGGTGGTTTTTTTAAAGGGATCGTCTATAAAGAGACCATTTACCTTTTGTACAGGGACGTCACATTCATTCTTATCCCTTAAATTTAAAAATTGATGGTTGTAAGAGTGCCATTGATTAGATATAAAGTTCCTTAAAAAAAATTTCTTAGACTTCGTGAATCACACCAATTCATTTAATTTGAAATCTAATGAGTCGGAATAATGGTGACCTCCTTATACAAAAGGTAAATGGTCTCTTTGTAGACAATCCTTTTTTTAAATGACCAAATTTCCCTCTTTCGGATGTTTAACATCCAAAGAATTACGTTTTAGTATCTTCATACAATTTCAGATTTTGAAAATTTGAAATTTATTTGAAAATTATATTTTTTAGATTTTGAAAATACAAAAATTGAACTTTAGCATCCCAAATTCATAATAGTTTTGAATTTTTAGAATTAAAAAATTATTTGGAAATTATATCCAATTATCAAAATCCAAAAATTACATTTTAGCATCCCTGAACATTTTGGGATTTCAAAAATCTGAAATTTACTTTAAGACTAAATTTTTGGACTTTTAGAATCTGGATATTGCATTTTTTTCGCCGTGGATCTTGTATTTCAATTAAATTTGGATATTGAAAATCCACAAATTTTGTGAGAGAAAAAAAAATCCCTGACTATGCTCTCTCTCCGACTGAGGATCTTGTATTTTTCTTGATTTCCAAGATCCAAAATATGGAAAATTTCAAAACTACAAGATAAACCGGTATAAATGTAAAAACAATAAATTAAAATCTAATGAGTGGGAATAGTTGTGACCTCCTTAGACAAAAGATAAAAGGTTTCTTTGTAGACAATCCATTTTCTAAATGACCAAAATTATCTCTTTCGGAGTTTAACATCCAAAGAATTGCATTTTAGTGTCTCCACACAATTTTAGATTTTGAAATTTTGAAATTTTCATATTTTAGATTTTGAAAATTTGAAATTTATATGAAAATTGCACTTTAGCATTCCAAATTGACAATCATTTCGGATTTTTAGAATTAAAAATTTATTTGAAAATTATATCCAATTTTCAAAAATCCAAAAATTACATTTTAGCATCTTTGAACATTTTGGGATTTAAAAAAAATCTGAAATTTACTTTAAGACTAAATTTTTGGACTCTTAGAGTCGGGATATTGGATTTTTTTTTTCGCTGTGGATCTTGTATTTCAATTAAATTTGGATATTGAAAATCCATAAATTTTTGTGAGGGGAAAAAAAAAGAGCCCTGAATATGCTCTCTCTCCCACTGAGTCTCTTGTATTTTTCTTGATTTCCAAGATCCGAAATATAGGAAATTTCAAAACTACAAAATAAACCCGGTACATATGTAAAAACAACAAATTATAGGTAAATTTGAAATAACATTAAATAAAACGAATATCAACATAATTTCTGTTACCAAATATCCCATATAAGATACTTCCTAAGAGTAAGGTTATGTTTTATACGAAATATTGGGTTCTTCAAATGCAATCAATCACCTATGATATTTCTTTTTATACCAATTTAATCAATATGGTGGGAAGATTAATTGTTGTTCACAATACAGACTCGCCAAGTCTGGTTGATCTCTCAACCGTCTATCATAAGCAACAGACAGTGAGATTTGATGTAGCGTATATAGTTCCGTACACCAGTGATGGTCTACACTGTACAGTCCACTTTTACTTCCTCAATGCATGGTGAAATTACGTTTTGGTCATTCAAAATATAAGGGTGAGGCTCTAAACAATCAAATTACGACAAACCTCATAAATTTTGCTACAACAGGATATGTTTTGGTCTTCAAATCAATCATCTTGACCTCAAGATGTACTGACATGAGAAAAAATAGATTTGAAGTTATGGAAATAGTGCATCTTGTAATACATTTTTTGGACAGTCAATTTTCAAGATTTCCAAACGTTTATAGATCTGCGTGATCTACACTATTTTTAAAGATTTAAATATGTTATAATTAGATATGGAGAAAAATTTCAAGTTATCACAAACACTTTCATTACTAAAGAAACATCTTTTGACACAATTTGAAGGTGTGTCTCATTTTGATTGTTTAGAGCCTCAGCCTTATACGGGCCACACCCTTCAAAATATCACGATAAGATAGCTTTTCACCTTTGCAGGCTGAGCTCTGTGTCTCTCTTTCACTCACACACTCTCATGGGTTGTATAGCAAGACCTGTAATTCCCTTTACAAGAACACCTGCTAATGGATGCCATACTCCAAGCATAATAATACAACCACCCACCCTCATTTCCACCACTCTAATTACTAAATTCGAGTCCCAGTCTCAACAAGAGGAGAGCAACAGCAGCAGCAACAACAAAGATGGGGGACGGAAATGGAAGGAGGGTGTGAGGATGAGGAAGGTGGAGACGACGGATTGGGTGGCGACGTCCCTCACCCGCCGCTTCGGCCTCGGGGCGGGCCTTGCATGGTTTGGTTTTCTAGCCTTCAGTGTCGTCTCGGAGCAAATCAAGACCCGATTGGAGGTCTCCCAAGAGCAAGCGGGTACCCTGTGAGTAACAACATGCAATCCTCTGCATAATTTCACTTTCTTCTTATTTCTACGACGTCTTTTTTGTGAGTACATGCAAGGTTTCTCTCTTCAGTAGTGACACACACAAAACTACATGTATGCCCGGAGATGGATTCTATGTAAAGGGGTGAAAATATACGAAATCAACCAAAAACATACGAAATTAAATATTAGAAATATATTTAAATTAAAAAAATTAATGCTTAATTTGAAATGAGGAATAACTTTGCCAGTGTTTCGAGACTGGCAACGAATCACTTGGCCAATATTAGAAATATATTTAAATTTAAAAAATTAATGCTTAATTTGAAATGAGGAATAACTTTGCCAGTTTTTCGAGACTGGTAACGAATCACTCGGCCTTTGATGCCAAGGCGAGTTGTACCAAGTTCATTTGTACTACTCTTCTACTCAATACAAAGGGGGGATCTCCCCCCTTATTTCATCTCTTTGTCTAGGGTCTAGATCAGAGTTTGCAAAACCAGCCTATCTAACTGCTAACCGCCTGGTTAGATCGGTATCGGTCACCGGTTTCGATTTTGGGCGGTTTTGGTGATCAACGGGTATTTTAAACTTTAAATAGCATACTACTTCAAATTCATATCAAATATGTTAGAATGGTGTATTGGTTAACTCTAACAACTAAGCTTTACCTCAATCACCGTTCAAATCCTGCCCCGCTAATATCACTTTTTTTACTTCATTTCGTTGGACTTAAAAGAGAATCAAACTAGAATTGCTGCTTTTTTTACTTCATTTTGTTGGACTTAAAAGAGAATCAAACTAGAATTACTGCTTGGTTGACAAAAAGAATGGCCTATATATTATATAACTTACTTTTTTTTCATTTTCTTTTTTAAAAAAAGAGCCGAGCCGATTTTTTGAACAATGTTTTAATATTTTTTACATTATAGTAAAGATTAAAAATTGTTTTGGTCATTAATACTCACTTTTATATTTTCTCAACTTTTTTTAAAAAAATTGAAAAATATTCTCTAGCCACAAATCGATTCGTTAAAATCCATTTTTTTCATTAATTTTCAATTTCATTTGAGTGTGTTTTGTTTTAATCATTATTTTAGTAGCTTTTTTTTTTATATATTTTATTTAATTTTTTAACAGTTTTTTGACTGTCCGGAACTTGCCTGGTTAGAGCGATTGAATTGGCCGGTTTACCGATTAAGCCGGTTAAACCTCTTCTGAGGCCATGTCCGGTTAACCGTTCCGGTACGATTTTGCAAACACTGATCTAGATTGAGTGTACCACCCGCTTTCGTCTCTCTCACTCCCATGCAAGGACTTTCTCTCTCTCTAGACTACCGGGTACATACTCTCCCTCTCTCTCGTCCTCTGTCTCCCTCCTCTCTACCTCCTCTATTTCTGTAAAAGGGGCAAAAAACTGCCCCACTTTCTCAAAGTATAGGTCAAAATCAACTGAGAACGTTTCCGGTTGAGAATGAGAACAATCTTTCTCCTAGTAAATCCTGCGGAGTACCAATTGATCAAGCAAAAAATAAAACCAAAATATTAGGTGCAACAGGGATTTCAACATACCTCAGATTTAATTATTATATTTAAAGTCACAAAACTAAAGTAAAACCAAAATATTAGGATATATTACGAAGGGATTGTATTTAGGGGACTATTTTTCTTTTTTTTTTTTGACAAAGAGGCCATGATTGCTACTAGTCATTAGATATCAAATTGGATAGCTTGGGTATTTTTTTTTTTTTGAAACATTGAATTTAGTCAATAACATAGTTATAACCATCCTCTTTAAAATTTGCGGACAAAAGTGATCGTGACTTTCATATATTAAAAATCTAGTCTTTTTATATACTTCTGATTACTAATATCGACAATGCAAATCAAAATAACGACATTTTTAAATAGAGTATATACTTACAAAATATTAACGATATTGAAAGCATAATTCTTTAGGAAAAATTCACTAGAAATGATTCCTTTTGAACTTGTACCAGCGTACTCAGACTCGGCCGAACTCAGACTCGTTCGAGTAAATAGAGATTGGTGAAATAAATCAACGGATGGAACATTGAGAAAATATCAATCTAGAAGAAGATGTTGTCTAGAATCCTATAGAATCGATACCAAATCGTACCCTAGGGGTGATTGAGCTCTATGATTGACCCTGGTGCTGATCCCTAAGGTAATAAGCAAAATTTGATGTGAGAACATCCACGATGTCTAGGTATCAAGGTCAATTTCCCCGAGTTCCATTATAAGCTCCATATATAGGGTTTTATTGATTAGTTGAATGCAATAAACAAATCATTTGAATAAGATGAATTATCAGAAGAACATATAGTTAAATTTGTTGCAAACAAGCTCCATGTGTATGCCACTGCCTAGCCGGAACAAGTTCAACAATCTCGACTTTGTAATAAAATAACAAACATTTATAATTGACAAAAGTTGAAAATGAAACTGAAAGAAAATTTTATTCACGTAGATCACCATCAAAGTTTATTTTAAGACCTTTAAAATTCCCAGAGAATGGAAAGAAAGTAAAGGACTATAGTACAAAAGTTTATAGACTTGCAGCTCGAAACAGCCTCGGAGATATTGAAGGACAAAAGGTGGGTGTTATATTAATGGACTCCAACCAGTCATCAAGGATGAGATTTTTTCTATATTGGCCATGGACCTTAAGCAAGGCATTAAATTTCTTCCCGAGTAGAGACCAAATTAGAATAGAGCGCGGAAAAGTAATTGTTCAACCAAAAGCAGCGTTCCCACAACCCAAAATTTAATGAAAAAGAGAATGATTCCCCAAGGTTACTTGCTATCTGAATAATGAAATTGAACTCCCTACATGGTGACAAATGGTATAGTACTTTATTAATTTTTTTTAGAATTTAAAGTTGCCGCCGAACTTCTCCCAATCCTAGGAGAATGGTGCAATTAAGTTTTTCTTTATATTTTATTTTCTTTTTTAGGAGATTGAAATTTAGATTGGTGTTATTGAGGTTTCTAGTTATCTTTTAGCATATTTGGATCTTTTCATGTTCTAGAAAAATATTATTTTGGGGATGGATTCTCTTGCAAAACCAGAAAATGTATAATCTTTCAATATTTTTATAATTAAATTATTTGGTTTGCTTAATTTCTCTCTCATCCTTGCATCAAGAACTTAGGGGGCAATCATAGAGAAATATGCACTACCTATTCAAACCATTGCAAGAGGGGCTGCCTAGAACAGATATCTTTCAATGCGGTCTGACTAATTGAGAAGGATGAGTAAACTCTTATGCATGCCTCCTCAAGGAGACTATTAAACTTGATAAAACTAATAAAGACTGATATGCAAGCTTTCGAGGAATCTAAGCCAAGATTGTAGAGGTGGTCAAGTGATGGCTATGGTGAAGGTGACAGTGGCCAAGGTGGCTTTATGAAAAATGAAGTATCAATGATGGCCTTGCTAAATTGCACTAGTATACATGTACTGATTGACATGTGGTAATATTGGATTTGGGTCCTCCTCTTGATTGTTGCATGTAGTGCCTGTAGGAATAGGACATGACCATTTAAGCAAGCATTGAGAGACCTTGTGGCAATGACAAAACTAACAAGGACATAAAGGACTCTGGCTGGAGGCTTTCCCCAAGCATGTATGGGACCAGGGGCAAACCATGGTTTATGGGGAACCTAGTGTAGGACAAGTGCCTAACAAGGACATCAAACCTAAGTCGGGAAGGCTTGTCAGACCCCTTTTCTTAGCATCATCTGTGCAAGCTAGGCAAATTATGCGAAATCTCACTTACTAGAGGTGTATGAAACCCTCACTTACTAGTAAAACATTTTTGAAGAACCCAAAAGTCCTATATGATCTTATGCTACTTTGGAAAATTTTGCTCTCTTGGGAGGCAAGTTTGTAACCAGAAAACCTATACGAGGGAGTGCCTCCAGCCTTAGACTGACCTCGGGCAGGAGGCGAGGTTGGTGCATGGGCACACTAGCAGCAAAGGCCATTGATGTGATCCCTCAGGTAGGTGGTGTGGATTGATATATAATGTGGTGTGATTTGGTGGACCATCTAGACCAAATTGGCTGAGGCAGGGTTAGTCAAAACTGTTGGGTTTATGTAGCTTTTAAAAGCTTTATGAGTGCTTGTAAAATAAAATAATTTATTGGAACATGAACTCAGTGGGAATGTGGTCTTTCATGGGCCATACTATGCAAACGATGTTAACAGATACCTGACTGTGCTTGACGATCTAGGTCAGTCGGTTGGGAAAGTGACATGGGCATAGAGAACAAATTGAGAAGCGTTCTAATGGGTAATCTCTTGATGAGGTCGGAGTATATGCCCAAATGAGTGAGCTGAGGATTATGTGACCCTTGTATATGATGGTGGCCTACAGAGACGAGGGCCAAAACCTCATCCATGTACCATCACATGGCATACATAGCGATAGATCGTTCGGAAAAGCCAAAAATCCACCTTTTAGGGTAAAGCGTATGCATGTGCGAGAATACCCCTATGCGCCATAGAGCAGTGGTCGCATCAGGTCTTGATGACCTTGACTCGTCTATAGGGGAGGACTTGTAATCCACAGATTGTGATTGTAACCCCTTGACTCATCGACCAGACTTTAGTGACCCGCTAATGATGCTTTGATTGGACTGTAGGTTATGGAAAACACTTGGTCAGTCTGATAAAGCAAGTGTGGTCCGTAGTCCACAGTTGAAGGTG